GAGCGCGCGGCACGCCCACGGCCAACGGGGCGCGCTGGCGAAAAGCGCAGGCGAGCCTGTGCCGATTGTGCTCAGCTGCTCTGATTCACAAACACAGACATGCACACGCACACTCGCGCGCGCACTTCTCCCTCCAGCGCAGCAACAGCTGGTCGTAAACTAGCGGGAAGCGTCATCATGAACTGCATGCTAATGTGCGACGATGGCGCTCAAGCCGAGGCTGTGTGCCAACGAGGTCGGAGATCGGAAAGAACCAAGGAGGGCTGCCCAAGTTTAGACAAGCGCCTTCCATTACTCGCAAAGCAACTAGTTGCAAATGGCCTCGATTCGCCGCGCGGGATTTACGATCCAGTACATCAGGACAAACATGTGTTCTTAGGACGTTTGCGAGTACGCACTTCGCGAGTAGTGGAACGCGTTGTTGGCAGGGGAGACAGCCATACGGACTACAACGTACGACACAAGTGAACGCACACGAAGGTGGCCAGGCGCGCCCACTGCGGTACGGGCCATGAAGCATAGAAACGAAAAAACGGATGCAGGGAGGGATAGGGATACAGAAGAGACGGAGCGAGAAGAGAGGCAGGAACGCGCGCGCGAGCAGGACGACGAAGGGAAGAACACATGCACGCGCTTGTTCGTTCTCCGCAGCGTTGCACCAAACACTGGCATGCACGGGCGAAACGTGCTGATGCCAATTTCAAGAATGGTTCTTCGAATGTGACCCAACAGCGGCCGTGGGACACGCGCGCATACACGCGTTTGTTCTACGACGCGCTGATACCGGCTGCCAGCGGGTAACATAATAGAAAGCGAAGTGCGCGCTAAGCAAATTGACCGCCTTGTGCAGTAGCGCGTGTAGGATTGGGAGCCTGGGTACAGCTCGAAAAGGGCCTCCAAACAACAATACTGAGCATTGCTGGATGTTTCGTCCCGCGCAGCCGGCGCACACTTGGCTCTAGGACGTCAGCTTGAAGACCACCGGGCAAGATGGGAACGTCAGATGAAACGTCGCCCAGAACGCATACGCCCCTGACGGAACGGGACACAACAGGTAATCCAGAGGATGGCAACCAGGAGGCAGCGGAAAGACACGCAGCTAGGAACGCAGGGGCACATGAGAGAAAACCACGGGCGGTAAGAAGGCGGGGACGACGAAGAAGAGCGAGCAGACCTGCAGCGGGGAACAGCAGGGACGAGACTAACACAGACGGGGCAAAAAGAGGGGGAGGGAAAAACAAGCCTAGCCAAGAACGGCGACGCCGAGCGGCGGGAGCGCCGGCAGGCGGAGACGAGCGGAGGCACGCCGTGCCACACGCACACTCACGCGCACACGCACACACACACACACGCGCACACGTACACACACACACACTTTTAAGCCGGCGGCGCAGGTGAACCTCAGGCGAGGGCAGATGAAGGTACCCATGGCGAACGAACTTGGTCGAACGCGCCGTGATGAAATAATTCAGCCACAGCCATGCAGATTGGTGGTGGTAGTGAAGAGATCGGGCACTGCAACGCCAAAGTGCAGCGGCCAAGCATCCCGCGGAGCGAGATTCGACGCCAAGAGTTGAAGCGCGGGCAGAAGTATGATGCGAATTAGCCGATCGAGCGAGCGGCCAAGCATCCCGCGGAGCGTAACTCGACGCCAGGGATTGAAGCGCGGGCAGTAGTCGGGGACGCACAACACACGCACGCACGAAGACACACACACACACAGACACGCACGCACACACAATCATAGAAACACACAGAGACACACATAGAGGCATACAGACAGACATATTGACAGACAGACAGACAGGCAGGCAGGCAGGCAGGCAGACAGGCAGACAGACAGGCTGACTCGCGGAGGCACCCCTTGAGCAGTTCCGTGCCAGAGCGTTTCCCAAGGGGCGGAAATTGCCCGCCACCGAGCCGACGCCCATGCGGCGCGGCGACCGCTGCGCGCCGCCCCGCAAACCCCTGCCAACGCAGGCGCTGGCCGCCCGATGCGCGGGCCGCGCCGCGCCAGCTCGCGGCGGCGCCTGGCGCGGCAGCCTCTGGCGCAGCCCGCCGAGCGGAGTGTCGCGGCCCCCGGCGCCCCAGCCGCCGCCAGTGCAACAGCAAGCGCCCCCAGCGCCGCCGGCTGCGCCTCAGCCGCTGCCGCCGCAGAGCGGCGCTGGCACCGCGCCGCGTAGCTCGCCGGCGTCTCAGCGCAAGCCCGCGGCAGCGCGTAGCTGGAGCGCAAGCTCGCCGTGCAGGCCGCAAGCGGGCACGTGGTGCGCGCGGGCATGCTTCGGCGCCAAGAAGGCTGCCCACCTCTGCTTTGAGCCAGAGGCGCGCCTCGGCCTCAAGCCGCCCCCCCACCACGAGGACGACTGTTGTGATGCGTTCTCCAGGGTAGCGAGGGCTCTCCGGGGTGGCGGGCGTGCTTGTCTCGCAGCGGGCCGCGCCCCGCTGCTCCACCACGGTGCCTGCAGCGAGGTGCCGCGCAGACGCGTCGAAGAAGCGTCGG